TATATATATTAGATACTTTTTATCCCAACATTCTCAGGGGAGTTGGGGGAACTACTTTCTATTGTCTTCATCACCAGTGCTCTTATTACTATGGCATCATTTTGTTTCTCCACGCTATAAATCATCAGAAATATAATATCTTCTGAAAACAAATGCAAACACATTAATTAAATAGTCCTTCTCATTTCATAATAATGTAGCCCATAAAACTCCCATGGACCAGGAAGAAAAACAGGGAAAAGACTCACTTTTGATCCTTTAGTTCAATGTGCAATCCAAAAGACATAAATTCATTTGACTTTTATTCCTTCAATTGACGTGGAGTCCCTACTGATGCCTTTTCAATAAGCACAGAAACAGCCCTTCATCCATTGTCTCCTCTCTTTTGTCCTTTCACACAATCTCCTAGGTCTCTCCCTCCCTTGAATTTCCTGACCTTCCTGCCAGGGTCCATTTTTACCTCTTGACTTCTGGCCAACTTGTTGGTCAGTGCAATTTACCCTTTATTCTCTTTGAGCAAGCCAGCTAGCCATATTATCGGAGAGTATTTCAGGTCCTTCTCATTGGGAGAAACAAGAGAGATTCCAGAAACTTTTTCTTCTACCTAGATAGACTTCTTCGCAAAACTCAAGAATGTTATTATACTAACAGCATTTGTTTTCTCTGAATCTTGTTAAGAACCCCTTCTTAAAATATCCTGAAGTGGTGGGAAAGGAACTCTGTTCCAAAATGTGTGTGATGAAGTCAATCTACCTATGATGTCCTACCCTCACCCTAGGGAAACCCTTTGCCCTGCTGGTGAGCACATAGAAGATGGAATACGGCACTGATCTCTGCCCACTAGTGATGTCTGGTCATGAGGTTGTCCTCCAGCCTTCTACCATGGACCATCTTAGGGACATTTTAGATTTACTCTTTTCTCTCTGAAGGCTCTTGTTTGAATCTTAGATGTTCCTCCAAGATCCACATAGTAAAGACTTGGTCTCCAGCTTGGTGCTATGGGGAAATGGTGGAAACTGTAAGAGGTGGTGTCTACTGGGAGGTCCTTAGGTAATGGCGGGGGTGCTCAAAGGGAATTTTGAGGCCCAGGACCCTATTCTTTTGCTTTCTGGCCTTAAGGTGAGTAGTTTGCTGTGCCACATGCTACCACCGTGATGTGCTGCCCCCTCCCTCTACCAGAGGCCTAGAAGAAGTAGGCTGACCAATCATGGACTAGAGCCTCTAAAACCATGAGCTAAAATAATAAACCTTTGAGGAGTTTTTATTTTGTTTGTGGTTTGTTTTTGTGTTTTGATGGTAGGGATTAAACCCTGGTGTTTCACACATTCTAAGTACATACTGCACCACTGAACTCTGACCCCAACCTTTCTTCTTTCTTCCTTCTTCTTCTTTCCTCTCCTTTCCTTTTCCTTCCTTCCTTCCTTATTGGGTATTGAACAAAGGAGAACTTTAACACTGAGCTACATCACCAACCCTTTTAAAATTTATTTATTTAAATTTTGAGACAAGGTCTTGCTAAATTGCTGAGGCTGCCCTTGAACTAGCAATTCTCCTGCCTCAGCCTCCCAAGCAGCTGAGGTTACAAACATGTACCATTATGTTAGCTCTGTAAAACTTTTCTTGTTATAACTTGATTATCTCAGGTATTTTGTTCCAGTAATAGATAGCTGATGAACACTCCCCACCTCCCACAGGGATGTTTTGAATTTACTCTTTTCCCTCTGAAGGTTTGATAATTTTTAGCCTATGAAATAGACTGACAACAGATTAACAGAAAAAAATATCAAATTTATTAATATGCAGAAACATGAGAGCCATACACAAAGCATGAGGCTCAAGGGAGAGCTAGGGTGTTGGAGCTTTTATAGAGTTAAACAAATACAAATGGGCTTAGGCTTTGGGTGGAAAGAAGTGGCATCTGGCTATGAAGGCTGAGGAGGGCAGGTGAAGTCTTCCAGGTAATAGCTACCTGTGGGAGTCTTTGTCCAGGCCAAGTGTCCGACTCCCAATCTCTTCTTCCTCTGGAAAGATCTTCTCTAAGCAGAAATGAGGATAACAAAGAGAAAAGCCTGTTTACATTAATGGATGTTTACTTCACTAATATATATTTCCTTCATGGATGTAAATATTTTTACAAAAGGACATCCTTTCTGAGTTAATCCTGTTTCTCTGAACAGCCATCTTGAAATATGCCAGAGAAACGTATTTCTGATGGGCATGTTCTGGGGTCCCACAGCAGCCCATTCTAGTTTTTGGCATCATTTTGAGACATTATCACTTGCTATTCCACACAAGCACCACCCACCACTCTTCCTGTGCTGGCACCAAGGTATTCATGCTTGTTTCTGATGTGTTTTTTTATTGGCATTCTGGAGCATGAGCATATCAGCTGAATCCAGCAAACCCTAAGCAGAAGGGCCAAGCTTCAGATCTTCAGAAGGGATTCACTTACTTCCCGAGTGGTGGAGGTAGTTCTTCAACCTTTGTGGATGCTGGAGAGTACCTGTGCCTCCACGTGAGGTGTGACCCTCCTGTCCTCTCCTCCCTCCATTCACCCTCTCTTTCCATCCATTTCTCATGAAAAAAGGGGACTTTCTCTGCAGACCAGCTTAAAAGGAAATGAATCCGTTCCTCCACTAAAACAGAAACAGAAGCAAAAACAACAAACTCTCAAACACTCATTTTCTCTGGATGTTCTGGAGATAATTTAGCCAAGTTAGAACTGGCAAGCTGTTTCTGGGATATAAGCTAATTAAACAAGGGGAGGGGCTGTGAGGACCATGGGTGTGTTTAGTCAGCTACTAACATTTACAGGCAGAGCCTTGTCAAGTAGCCAGAGAGGCTTGCAGAGTAGAATAGATGTGATCTCTCTCCTCCAACTTGGTACTATAGCCTTGTCAAGAAGAGGTGTGCCTGGATTTCTGGCCTACCCTTTAGGATTTAGCCAAAGGTTGGTTTATAATGCCTCTTGTAAATCAGCAGAAATTCAATTGTACAAAGTTGGCTGATTATCCGAATTACTAGGGGAAGTCCAGTAAGGTAATGCCCACACACACCTGTCAATTCCAGCCATTCAGGAGGCTGAGGCAGAGGGTTGCAAGTTTGAGGCCATTCTGAGTGAGTTAGGGGGACTTTGTCTCAAAATAAAGTAAAAAAAAAAAAAGGGGGGGTCACGGGATGGGGATATGGCTCAGTGATAAAATTTTTTCCTAGCATGTATGAAGTCCTGGATTCAATCCCCAGTACTGCAACAACAACAAAAGAATTATTTGGGAATTTTTTATGAATATATGTATCCCTGGGCATTTTTCTACATTTATCAGAGGCAAGGCCTTGGGATCCCCATATTGTCAAAGCCTCCCAGGTGCCAGGTTTGAAGAACCATGTTTATAGCTTATAGAACATAGATCTGGAAGAAGTCTAGGGCATCAACTACTCTAACTTTTGCATTGTTTATCCAAAAAACATAAACTCAAGAGATGTTACATGCATTGTTATACAATCACAATAGTTGTTTATTATCATTATTGTTATTATTATTTTAATGCAGTAATGAAAAGCTTTGTTTGAAGAAAAAAACATTCTCAGAGGGAAACCTAGGTATCATCTAGTGATACATCAATTGATTGACCCTTTCTATGGTGATTTTGTATTATATTTGCACTTAATCTTCATACATTTATTCACTTGACAAATAAGTACTTGTTTTAGTGAGCTCTTTCACTGCTGCAACTGAAAGACCTGACCAGAATAACTGTAGAGGAGGAAAGGTTTACTTAGCAATTCATGGTTTGAAAGGTCTCGATCCATTGACAGCTGGCTCCATTCCTTGAAGTGATGCAGGACATGATAGTGGAAGAGTGTAGCAGAGTGAAACAGCTCACATAGTGATCAGGAAGCAGAAAGAGACTCCACTGGCCAGATACAAATATATACCCAAAGCCATGCCCCAATTCCCACCTCCTCCAGCCACATCCTACCACTTCAGTTACCACTCAGTTAATCCCTATCAGGGGATTAATTCACTGATTGGGTTAAAACTCTCACAACCCAGTCATTTCTCCTCTGAACCTTCTTGCATTGTCTCACATGTGAGCTTTTGGGAGACACCTCACATCCAAACTATAACAGTACTACTATACTCCATGTGCTATTTTACGCACAGGGGATATAGTACCAAACAAAACATTCAAGTAGCTTTGTCTTCATGGGGGTAAAAGTACAAACAAGCAAAAATAAAATATAAAAGGTGTCAAATATAGTATCTCAGTAAACTTAAAGCAGGAAACAGGGATTTAAAGTGTTAAGCCATGGGGGATGGGTTGAAACTGTAAGTAGGATAGCCAGGGAAGATTTCATTGTATGAAGGTAGCTTTGGAAAGTGATGACCCAAAGGAATTGAGGCACCGAACCATATATGCAACAGGAGTATAACTAACTCTCCAGGCAGAGAAAATAACAAATGTAAAGCTCTGGGTCAGGAACATACTTTGTTATGAATAGTAATAAGGGTGGTGGCAATGTAGCAAAGTAAATGCTAGATTTGCTCTAAAGAGGAGGAATAGGAGACGTGTCAGGGAGGTAAAGGGGAACCCAGACCAAACAGAGTCTTGAAGGTCATTGTAAGCATTTGGGGTTTTAGTCTGTTTGAGACGAAAAGTCATTGAAGGGTATTAGGAAAAAATATCAAGGCCTATCTTATATTGTAATGGGAACTGTATAAGAATTGAAACCAGACCAAAGTAGCAGAGGAAAGATGAACAGATATGAAGATATTGCAAAACTTCAACTCTATATATGGGGAATTAGTATTCAATAAATGATAAGCATGGACATTGAGTTGATTACATGCCTCTGAATATGCATAAGAAGGAAGATATAAATCTGTAGTTCCCACTGGGCATTCACTGGAGTCCCAGTATGACTCAGGAGGCTGAGGAGGATCTCAAGTTCAAGGCCAGCCTCTGAAACTTAGCTGAGGCTGAGGGTCTAAGCAACTTAGCAAAATCTTGTTTCAAAAAATAAGGACTGGGGGATACAGCTGAGTTATATATAGGGATGTTTTGAATTTAGTGGTAAAGTGTCCTGGTTCAATCCCCAGTACCAAATAATAATAATATTCTGCAGTTCCCTTGGTCTGTTTAGCTCTCACACATCTTGCAGGAAAAGCAATCTAATTGCCACTTGAACTTAAATGATACTTGCAGTTATAGATGAGTGCTTTTCATCCTACATGGTCCCTCACCATAACCAAGTCCTCAAAGTGTCCACACATCAGGGAGACCTCTCACTCTGGTTCTGGAGACTATATTATACTGCTGTGCTCTGAATGTTTATGTCCCTCTAAAATTTATCTGAAATCTAATCAACAACGTGTTGCTATTAAGAGGTGCCGCCTTTAGGATGTGAGTAGGTCATGAGGACAGACCTCTCCTGAATAGGATCATTGTCCTTCTAAAAGAGGTTTGAGGGAGCCTGTTAGCCTTACCACCAGATAAGCACAGCTAGATGGTGCCATCTATGAGGGGTGGATCCCCACCAGACACTGAGCCTGCTAGCACCATTATTTGGACTTCTCAGACTCAGGAACTGTGAGAATAAGTTTCTGTGGTGAGAATAAGTTTCTTTTGTTTATAAATTACCCAGTCTACAGTGTTTTGTTATAGCAGCCTGAGGCACATGGATGCTACATCTGCTTGAGACCCCGAAGAATTTTAAGCAATGCTGCTTCCTACACAATCTCTCTTGCCCTGACTTTTCCTAAGCGTTTTCTTTTCCTTGAGTATTCTAGAGGTTCTCTGATCTGCTTTCAGGAGCTCTAAGCATCATGTCCTCAGGGCTGTAACCTTTCTATTATGATATGGACTAAGTATTTGTTCCCTTCCAAGATATTTATGAAAACAGACAGATATTTTTAAGCTCATAGGTTTGATATTTTAAAAGCTAGAAACATAAATTCTATCTAGTTTGCAACTGCATTTCACATCATTTCTCTAAAACATAATCCTGTTATAAAACTGATTGTCATTATGCTATGCTATCAAAAATTTCTAACAAACATCACACTACATTTTTTAAGTGACAAAGCTTATTTATAAACCAAATCCATTCTTGTAATGTTGTATGTTGTTGTTGTTGTTGTTTTCCCAAACCAATTAACACATGCCAACTTCTTGTATTCTAAGTATTCACAATAGTGAAAGGAAATTGAAGTTGAAGTCAGTCACTTGGCACTGTAGAGACTGGTCTTATTGTACAAATAAAAACATTGAAGAGGGAGGATGGAGAAAAACTTCAATACATAATACTAGTTTGAGTTTCAAGAAGCAAATTATTGGTACTACAAGCATACAAAACAAATAAGTGAACCATCTAATTCAGAGAAGTACCTTTAGCCAAAAAAGTCCATTGAGAAGGACAGAAAACCAGGAAGATTTGTGTTGTTTTATTTGTTATTCAAGCAGGGAGGGATGTATTTATAAGGATGTGCCAACTTGCAAGCCCAAGTGTGACAAGAGATGAAGCTGGACTTCCTGGTGGTTGTTGATAATATACACAGCTTTCAAAAGCAGCATGAAGTGAGTCAGAGTGATGGACATTTGTACAGAGGAGGCTGACGGAGTCTTAGGCCAAATAGTAATCCTGGGTGGCTCTGGTGGAATGAGGGATGTAATCACCTCACCGGTAAGAGTCTTTAGTATTGAGTAAACACTTGGCAGCCTTGGTCATCCGCTTGAAAGGCAGAGAGAAAAGTAAACTTTCAGGAGTGAGTACCCAGCAGAGGTGTTTGTGTAGGCTAATTGTGAATGTCCTTTAGGGCCTCACTTTGGGCAGCCTCTCCCACACCCCATGGTGGAGCTTACCCCTGCAGGGGCCAATGTTGCAGCTTATTCTCTGTATCCAGGGGCCTGATCATTAATTACTGCATGAATGAATGAACCAAAGGATGTCTGTGGAGGAGACTCACAACCAGGGCACAAGTGTTTTTCCTATTCCTTGAGGGTTTTGATTCAGAAGCTAGATCAATGGCTTTCAGGATTTCTTTGCTCAGTGCACACTTTTGGGTGGCACTGGTACAGGGATCTTTACAAAAAAGTATTTAGAAAATCTATAAATTTCCCTTCCTGCCATTCCGTGGGTCACCTTTCAACACTATATCACTGCCTATAGAAAGCTACTAACTTCCTCAACTCACGAAATAATGTTTTCATGTGTTCTGGGCCTTTTGACCAAATGTGATACCATGTGTTCTTGTTCTTATTAGCAACAGGTTGCTCCCTACTCTCCTTCACATCTGTCTATCAGCTTTCTACCTGTTAGTTGTCTCTATAACAGCTGGCCCCTGCAATGATGACAAAAATGCAGATTTTATCCATTGACTACAACTTGACAACCAATATATAAAGTGCACAAGGGATCCCAATGACTAAGAGTAACTTGATTAGAAAAGCATCATAGAGATGTTGTAGAAATAATTCCTGTACTGGTTGGCAGGCAAGACATGATTGTCTCCAAATGCATTCCAACACTTAGGTACTAAGCTACTCCTCAAACTACAATTACCTCTGCTATTACAATGATCTCTGCTATTAGTTGTTAGTAATAATTTTTTATCTAATTCTCATGTGGCACTTTG